ATGTAGTGTCTCTACTTTAAAGAGTCCTCTCCTGCTGATGTTCAGGTGTATATCAGTATGTAGTGTCTCTACTTTAAAGAGTCCTCTCCTGCTGATGTTCAGGTGTATATCAGTATGTAGTGTCTCTACTTTAAAGAGTCCTCTCCTGCTGATGTTCAGGTGTATATCAGTATGTGTTTCTCTGGTACTGTAAATAATTTTTCCAGAAATATAGTCTCCTTTATATGCAACAGATCTATGGACAAAAACGTTGTTTGACATAACATTAAAGTTTGCCTGTTAATAGTTTTGAAGCTCAATAAACAGCCAACAGTCGACCAGATGTATTTGATGTCTTCCAGACACTGTTATCTTTAAGCTTCCATTAAGCCACTCTAAGTTTTTCAGAAACATGATCATTGGAAGCATCTGGACGTGTCCCAGAATACTTTGCAGCCAAGACATTATGCATGCTTGAGACTTTCTAGGAAATGAAGGAAATTTGTTGGAGCAAACAGCTGAGGGGAAACCGGTCCCTGAAGAGGTGATGAAGTCTCTGAGGGGAGGGATCTTCATCCTGACTCACTAATGAGGATCTTTGAGAAATATAAACTCTGACCAGAAAAAAAAGGCTTCCCCTTGCAGGATCAAGACTAACAGCCTCTCTGGGATAATCGAAAATATGTTCGCGATGCAGTAAATGTACTATTGATGGACACAGCCTATTATTTATTTGATAATAAAACTTTGTGAACAAAAAATCTGCAGATAGAGAGCTGGTTAGCGTTAGCTGTAAGCTGTTAGCTGTTAGCTGGTTAGCGTTAGCTGTTAGCTGTAAGCTGTAAGCTGTAAGCTGTTAGCTGTTAGCTGTTAGCTGTTAGCTGTAAGCTGATTAACGTTAGCTGTTAGCTGCAAGCTGTAAACTGTTAACTTTAGCTGTTAGCTGTTAACGTTAGCTGTTAGCTGTTAGCTGTTAGCAGCCTGTGGGCAGCACAGTCCTGCTTGGCTAAATAACAAAGAAAACAGCTAACGGTAACAGGGCTAAATCAATTTATTATTATTTATTGTTTGACTTGTAGTGTCTCGGCATTAAACGCCACGATGTGCATTATTTAGTCCTCTGTTAAAAAACAGGGCCATATAAAATCCTTTTGTTAAAAAACCTCTTGCAGCATGTTTTTTACCCTAACAAAGAACAGGGAAGGGAAACCCCCAAAAAGCATGATAGGGCCTCTTTAAACATTTTGTCTTCAGTGATCATAATGATATCTGTTTAATTGTTTGTTTCCTTAAATATTTGTCTTTGTTGTTGCTGCTGTGATGCAAGAAATGTTTCAGACTTGAGCTGTCAATAAACAGAAAAAATGTTTACGTCCCCAGAACTGAACTTTTTCTTCCCCTCGTCCAGATTGTGAAAATGCCACCGTGGCCGACATCGTCTTCCTGTTGGACGGATCCTCCAGCATCGACAAGAAGAACTTTGTGAAGGTCAAAGGTTTTCTCAGCAGTGTCATCAAGGACCTCAACATCGGCCGGAAAAAGGTTCGTATCGGCGTGGCTCAGCACAGCGTTGAAACTTCCCGGGAGTTTCTGCTGAAGGATTACATGGATAAGAGATCCCTGATGATCGCAGTTGAAAACATGTCCTACCAAGAAGGAGGCACAGAAACAGGCATGGCCATCGACTACCTCCGGACGGAGTATTTCACGGAGGAGGCAGGGAGCAGAGCCGGCCAAAGGGTGCCTCAGATCGCTGTGGTTATCACGGATGGAGAGTCCATGGACGATGTGATCGCACCCGCCCAGCGCCTGAGGCAGCAGGGAGTCATCGTGTTTGGCATCGGGGTGGGAGCAGCCAACATGAAGCAGCTCGAGTCCATCGCCAACCGGCCTCCAGAGCGCTTCCTGTCCTACATCAGTAACTACGCGGCTCTGAAGACGCTGAAAGACAGTCTGCTAAAAACTGTGTGCGTCTCAGTGGAGGATCAGACGCAAGGTAAGGCAAAGGATTGAAGAAAACATCACATAATAGTCCATTTGAATGCATAAAGTTTATATTTCTAAGCGGGCAAATTAGGTTTTGGTATTTGAAGATGAGATCTACTGGGTTTGTTTGAAAAACAAGAAATTGATCATCATACTGTTTATAAGTTTCCTGCTGTTACAATCATGCAGTCCTTGTTGGTAACAAGTTTTTAAAGTATACCTATTCCCAATAGGTCATTCAATGGCAGCCATCAAAGAGCGTGGCTAGACATGATGAATTGTGCAAAGGGGGTAATGGGAATTCATGGTGCTGTACCTGCTTGTGTATGGGTACAAAATGAGAGCTTGGAAAGATTCAAAGTTAGCTTAATGTGAAAATACCTGAAAATACTAAATGTTAGTGCATATCCTACGAGATTAATGATCTTTAAGGTTGAGTTATTGGATAAACTAGCCATACACTTTGGAGTATACTGACGTCTTGACTGTAATGTAAGAAAAAGTAATAATGTTGTCTCTTTTTCCAGCATTGAAAGACAGGTTTGCAGATATCTTCTTCATGCTGGACGGTAGCATGGCTCCAGGAATGGTCCCGGGGGTCATATCTGACTTGGTTGAATTGATCGATCGTCTCAATGCCTCAGTGTCCACCTACCGTATTGGTTTGGCCCAGTACGGTGAAGATACCAAGGTCGAATTCTCCCTTGACAAATTAAAAAACAAACAGAAAACCATCGAAATTGTCAAGCGTTTCCGCCTGCGCCCAAACACCAACAAACCAGCTGACCTGGGCGGTGCCCTGATCAACGCCAACACTCACCTTTTCAACAGTGAGGCTGGGGGCCGTGCGCATCAAGGCTCCCGACAGTATCTGGTTGTTATGAGTGCAAAAGACTCCAGACGCTCCGTGTATAAGGACGCTGAATTGATCAAATCATCGGGGGTAACTCTTATAGGAATGAGTGCAGGTGCAAGTATGGAATCAATCGAATCATTTGCCAGTACTGACTATGCATATAATACTTCAAACGTGTTACTTTTGGAGGATGTCATCTTGACTGAGAAAAAGGAGATAATTACTGAAGGTGAGAATCCCAACCATCCTATTAGCAGTTTTTCACGTTTTTCAGTTAGCATCTAGAAGTGGACAGCTACAGAAAACTAGCATTCATAGTTTAATTGAAATCCTAGCCACCTCTAATCGCAGAACACAACATTATGCTTACTGCTTTGACCTATGTTAGAAGCAGTGACGTGCGGCAAGCTTCATGGTTGGAGGCACTGACTCTTTCAGAGAGTCAGATTTACAAATATTATATTTTGACCTTAATCAAAATATTCTGTTATTTTCAAAAGATTTTTTTGTCTGATGTTTCGATTCATTTTAACAAGACTGTTAAACAAAAGGATACCCAAAAAATGTAGTTTAGTTTAAATATTGGATTGTTCTTTCTTAGTAAGATCCCATTTTCATTACAATTGTGGTCTTACCTTGACTTGAAGATGAAGTCCATGCTCTCCTTCTGGACAACAATCTCTATTAGTTTTTTGTAAAAGTCCTCCTTATCTTCCTGTAGTTTCAAAAGTCTAGTTTGTTGTTTGTGTCTATCCGTCTCTGTGTAGAATAACAGTAGCAACAAGAACCTGTGGGCTCACGTGCGCCCCCTGCAGGTTATGTCTGCTATGCCATATGATGAGACCAGCGAGCCTAAATATCATATATATGAAATAAGTTATTTAGAGACTATGGATGGCGAGGATAAATGTAATAAAGGGATCTACAAACATTACATTGGTGACCTACAGTGAGATGGTAACAGGCATGCGCTTAGTGCCTGCTTTCCAGACAGTTTCTGTGGGGTGACGCATTCTGAGGTGAGGCAGAGCTCATCTGTGCCTCACCTCACCCCACAGTAACTGGCTTGAGCGCGCTCACAAAATAAGTGCCCGCGCTAAATTAGTGCCCGCGCTCCAGCAAGTTACTGTGGGCTTACGAGAGGCAGAGCTCGTCCCTGCCTCACTTCTCATCGCTGCCTGTAGTTGTAGCGGAGGCTGATTTTGACTTTAAAAAGCGATTGGAATCATACATAAATCACACTTACATCATAGATCAGTGGAGACATTTTATTATTATTTAGTTTTTAGTTTTTCTTTAGTTGTTTTTCCGTTACATTGGAGTATGACAGGCTGAGGCTCTGCCTCCCCTGCCTCCCCTGACTGCACGTCGCTGGTGAATACATATTTGCCTCCAGTATACTTTTAAGAAATTACATAAAGTAAGAATACAATATATCACTAGTGACTGTATGTACTTAACATCATGATGTAAGGGGGCNTCAGAACCAAAGGAGATAAACAAGAAACAATAAATCAGATTGTGTGTGTGCACACACACACACACACACACACACACACACACACACACACACACACACACACACACACAATCTGATTTATTGTTTCTTGTTTATCTCCTTTGGTTCTGATAACACGCATCAGTTCAGAAACTTTAAAAGAAATGAACATGTAGAATAACTTCTTCATTTCTAATGTCACACAGTCTATTTAAAGTCTTAATTATTTATTAAACTATTCCGAATCAAATCTCAGGTTCAGCATTAAAATTAAACAGTCCTCTCCTGCTGATGTTCAGGTGTATATCAGTATGTAGCAGAGGTGGGACCAAGTCATTGTTTTGCAAGTCACAAGTTAGTCTCAAGTCTTTGCCTTCAAGTCCCGAGTCAAGTCCCGAGTCAGAGACAGGCAAGTCCCGAGTCAAGTCCCAAGTCAAGACCGAC